ACAAGTGTTGTACAGGGAATACGCTGCCCCAAACCGTTTCTCTAGTTGTCAGGACCGTCGTTGGCTCTGTACTCACTGCAAGCTGCATTTCTTACCGCCATGCATTTTCGAGTTTTGCACCGATTGCCTCAAGGTCCTCTTGCATAACGAAGAGGTTGATTATTGACGCTGATGTGATTAGATCACTAAATTTGTCCACAAACTATACGCAAGTATTACTAATGTAACCCTCGCCCACAAATTACCAGATGGATTCTCCAACCAGTTCTACTAGCATGTCGTAATGGGTGAGTGGCTTATCGATCAAGACCTCTTCGTTCTTAATCACTAAATCTAGTATTGATAGTTTGTTGACAGTTTGCATTTGGTGGGCAAGTTGATATTGTTACAGAACGAAATGCTTGCAATCCACTTTTGAAAGTATGCCTCATAATTATTACTGCGAGTTATCGGAACTTACAGATCATGAACATCGAATTCACTGTATCTTGTTCGCATGATCTTACCCAGGGGTAAGGTCAGACGGGAGTCCATCGCTTCTGTGGACTTTAGGGGACGAGAAACAACTATGAACATTGATATACAACGGATAAAACGTAGTTGTTTGAGAAGTCTCTTAGAATGATTGGGATAAAAGCCACAAAATCAGACGATATATGAGTCATCTGTTTAAGTCCCTGGACTAGGTACTTTTGATTGTCTTCACGCTAATTTTGGAGGCACTGAGGTCAGCGCATTGGTCGCGTGAAATGATGTGTCACATGGCATTTTGAGCGAGTGTATCAGCCGTTCAAGAGCCGCTCTGTTGTGCAAAAAAGCGACTGAACAATAAAGTCTCAAAATGTATGATAGGTCTTTTGGTTAAGGTCGCCACTTGTAATTGGTGACTCGTTATATAGGTGTCACACGTCGCTTTCGTTTGAGACCAAAAATATTTCTGTACTCCACCGGAGCTGGAGATTCGTGTAAGCTTATGCGGAGGTGGTTCGAAATAGTGATGTAAAACTGAAATGTGAACCGTGTAAGTTGGATAATAAATATCCAGCGTTTTGAGCTGGTTCGAATGAGTGTAGATACATGTGTGCGTGATGAGAATTCGGTGAATAAATCTAGGCGAAGTCTGAGAGCCGAAAAAATGCATCTGCATGGTAGAGGCGCACTACCGGGTACTGTCCGCTCGTAAGCATGCATCAAAGTACTGACTTCGTACTTGATTTTGCTCATCAGTTAGAGTTGGCAGGATTGCATTCGAACCCCTAGCTTTTGGGATACTATCCAAAGCCTCTGCTAATAATCCACTGATTCACGGTAAGCAGTGCTTTTTCCAGTGGTTAATGACTTCTTGGACTGGTCTTTCTGAAACACTCGTTATGCGAATAAACCGCGATGCTTACAATATCAGGAGAATTATTCTCCCTGAAGTGAACCTTGGTCAGTTCCTTCACTGCGAATCTAGAGCTTTACTTTGCTCTTAAAGCGACTTTACCAAACGGTTTCCAGACCTCCAGCTAATTTGCTTCAGTATGTATACCTAGCTAAAGATAAATGTCACTCTGCTAATCTTTTTTCTCAACCGATTCTCCAATCATATAGAAATCTGCGAACAACTTTTCTACAGTGCTGCATGTATATTGTGGCGTGGTGTCCACCTCCCCATATTAGTAGCCTTGATTGGCGAATCTGTAGGTTTCTAATCTGTATCGTTACTTTGCGACCAAGTCGGATGCTCGTTCTCTCAACCCAGCACAATACCCAGACTCTTTTGGACAAGACGTATTTGTCAACTCCATACAGGTGCCGAGTCTGATGTAACAGGCAGCAAATCCCTCTATTTTGCCTAGTTATAGCCAACCCAAGATCACCCGGTGGCCGAGTGGTATGCGCGTCTGGTCTGCAACCATAAGGTCACCGGTTCGAATCAGTGTTGGGTCGGTCGTCCTCGCGGTATACTCAGCCCACGCGCGAATGGTGGTGGTCGCGTGGCAGCGAAGCGCCGTTGCGGCGTGCAGCTGGCAATTTATTTTTTATATTTCATTAAGATGGTTAAAGCACATCATAGAAAATAACAAATGAATCCCCTATTCGGTGGCTTATGAACATTTAATAATGAAATATGGTTTATCATTGGCTAACAAGCAAGGGTTTGACATGTCACGTTCGATAGCTAAGGTGAATATCGTGGGTCCACCGAGTTTAATGCGTTGATAAATATAGTTAGTGTAAAATAAAATTTGAATGCAAACACACAAAAGATCGTCGACGTAGAACATGAGAAAAGTAAAATATAATCGTTTACTCGTGTGCCGCCTCTTTCATGTTCATGTTTGGCACAACCAAATACGGAATAGAATGCTAAAACAAAAGAAGTACTACGATGGTGGATCGAGATGCCTTCCAGTTCTAGCTGTAGTAGAAGTATGGGTGTAACCAGTACCAGATACAGAAGAACGTTGGCGGAAGGGAGTGGTTGAGGGTCGCAGGGATGAAAGGATCTAAGAAGTCAGGATAGGGTGCAAGTTATTATGACGGACTCGGGTGCAAGTTAGGAGAGCACGTAATGGACGGATTCTGCTAAAGGAGGATTTGCAGCAACAACGAGAAAGGGAACCTGCAACCTCAGCCCATGGCATCAACAGTATACGCAGCGGAAGACCGTGCGGAACTTATTGCAACCAAATAAGAAAAGGAGGAACGGTTGTGATGGTGGCGGAAATCTAGGGTGAAGGGAATCGTCGCGGTAACGATGGTCTGGGGGTCAATCAAACGAAGGCGAAAAGCGCACAACTGGTGCGGCTCAGCACACGAACAAAGGAACGTGATTTGCGGCATCTATGATCCGGATTGATCAGCCTTAGTGTGAGTGGGCATCTCACGCCGGAGTCCAGTTTATCGACATGCATCGGTGTGTCAGCTAGCTAGCAGGGGAAGCATCAGGCTAATCGACCAATGGCCAATCAGACGCCACCATGCAGTCTATCGGCTATGACAACAACGCGGTTCGACCTAATCCTGGTTTCATTAAGTGTGAATCGGTTCAAATGGAGAACGAGCACGAACCAATTGGATGGAGGTAACGCCAAGGGCCAATTAACAAGGGACAGCCCAAAGACGGACGACAGCAGAATACCGTATGGAGTGCATGAAAAACCACGATGCTCCTTTATAGCGATTTTGATCGTCGCCCAGAGTATGCTCTTGATTCTTGGAGGGCTACGCGACATAAAGTCTGTAGATGGACATGATTAATGTTATCCGCAATAGTTTAAGAAATGATGGTCTGGCTGCTAAGAGCAGCATCCAATCGTTTTTTGAAGATGTTCAACCTAGGGGGGATACAACTGAGCTTGGGAAAGAGTTACAATGTTTGTAAACCCGAGCGAAAGTAATTCCATCGACACTCTAAACGGTTGTACTGTTTTGCTCAGTTTCAATTAGTGACTTCTGAGCGTGTTATTGTGACTGGATTTCCGCAACTGGCGGAGTAAGTGATTGGGGTCTCACCGTTTTTGGTACACAGCCTTCGATAGCGTCCGCTGAGAACTTCCAGCAACTTTGGCCTTCGCTGGTAAAAGTGCTTGCGGGTAATGATGGAGCATAGTGTTGAACACCCGTTCTCCAGTGGCAAATAGTTGCTTGAGCATATTGAACAGATAGCCAGTAAGTCATTCGGAAGCTATGGTTCGTTATACCACCGATACTGAAAGTGGGGCAAGAAGTCTCGAGTCCAAATTTTACCCGAGTTTACGTGGCTTTGGGTATGAAGACCGGTGCGAGAAACTAGGACTCTACACCTTGTCCTACCGTCGGGTGCGAGTTGACCTCGTTATGACCTACCGAATTCTACATCTCGGTGAGTTCCCCATGTTAAGGCCAATGCTGCACTTACGAGGGCCATGCAGCACACGCGGACACAGATACAAACTTGTTGTGCCGGATATGAAACGTGTTCCCCACCCACTGTGCTTCGAACGGAGAGTGGTAAACATTTGGAATAGTTTGCCCGAACATGTGATTGAGGCAACATCCGTGAAACAGTTCAAAACGTTGTTAGATTTGCATTTTGCCTCTATTCGATTCAGAGAACGGCTGCACACTTACGATGACATCACATTTGTGAATCCTGAAATATCGTAAGTCGCATATTTTAAATATTACATGAGAACGACAATGATATTCAAGGTTGACAACTTTTATAACGTTTTTCGCCATATCTCGAAAGAGTTGTACAGAATCCATTTCTACTTGCTCTATAATACAGTATTCAGTATTCAGTATTCATGAAGCCAACTGTCGGCCATGAGCGGAAAATGGTCACGTCATGTTGGGAAAGAACCATCGCCTACACAGCCTACACAGAATCTGTCTCTGCAATAATATGTGAATGGGAAACTGATTGCCTTTGTTTGACTAATTTGAAGTCTACTCTTCCAATACAATTAATCATTCTATCACTGGAACTGTTTCAGTATAGAAAATAACCGCACTATAGAACAAGTCCATAAATTAAAGACAAGTCAAGAGCCAAGGACAGCCATTTAGCGGTAACATCTCGAGCGCGTAATGCAGTAACTGTAGGGAGTGGGCTCTGACGTATTCTGTGCATTGCACTGAGTGATTTCCTGGGAACGGATTATTATGAGAAATAACAATACAGAACAATAAGTATGATAGGGAACAGAGTTTGGCATTTTAGTAAAACAAACAATGATGCGAAGCAGCCGCTGTGGATCGGTGACGTGTGATTGATCGAGATTGCATATACCCAGAGCATATCTTGAAATTCCCTCTTGTTATCCCCTATAAATGTATTCATGCTCAAACAGAATGTATTGCTAAATGGCTAACTCCATAACCACGTTTGTCAAAAGCAGTGCACCACGTTTCAGATAATGAATACGAAACACACAAAAAGTGCCATGATATTGTGTACCCAGCTATAATCTCTTGGTAGAGTGTGAGACAGATGATCTGAATGTTCAACTCAAATGTCCCCCATTCAGGACCTTGACAGAAATATGCTTGGCAAGGCTGGTTCGCGACTGGCCCTGTATGTTGCCCCCAAGAAAACCGTCTCTGCGAAATGTTGTCAGCTTCCTCTTCAGCGCAAGGGAATCCCGATCGGACACTGCTTCCAGCCATGCACGATCTGGTATACTCAATGGCCGCCGAGCTGCCAGCATGGCATCCGGAGCAAACCATGACTCAGACGACCAAAATAGGTGCCCAAGTTCCGCGACACATAAGAATGGCTATGCATCGGAATCTCATGGATCTATTCTACCAATGACTTATCACGATCTTCCTATAAATCTATTGAGTGATCTGTTGACGGAAGCTATTTTACAAAGAGACTGCGCTGCAATCGCAGGGTTAGTGGCAAATTGGCCAAATGAGCAGCTGGCTATCAGACGTTTGATACCCCAAGAGGAGTTCCCATTGTCACCAAACTACCTCACCAACCCGTCGTTTGTGCTTGTGAGTCCGGAAAATCGACGGGGCAACCGAACAACACTAGTGAAAGGTCCCAGTCTTCTGGATGCATTCATTTTGGGTCTCCTTAGCCGACAGCCCGTCTGCAAGCTCACATCCCTGGACTTCACAGGCTTCGAAGAAGGTAAGTGTTGCTCAACTGGCCAAGATTCTGACTCATATAAAGCTTGTTTTAGAATAGCGTTGAGTTATTGACGCTACTTATAGAACCGAGAATGTATACCCTGCTCACAACACCAACGTATTACATAACCGATCGCTTTGTAGCTCACAGACAGGAAGACTAACTGCGTGCATCCAACTAATCACCGTGGCGACTAGTATAACGGATGTAGGGAAGTCGATTCTGATAATCGCCGACAGAGTACCGTCCTGTTCACTAACCTCCAAACGAAAATAGTTGGCCTTATTGTGACCGCAGTTTCGCAAGGAAAGTAAATTCCTTATCTCGACAGATGATAGGGCTGGATGGGCTAGATGGCATCAACATACTTCGGTTCATATTGTCACACCCAGGCTAGGACAGTGCTCGGAGCGTGCCTTGCACATCCGAAAACGAATTTGGTTTATTTATTTGAAGGATGACAATTAAGCAGAAAATTTCAAGAAATAGGTGAATGAATAAAACGATAGTAGGGATCTGTAGTAGGCCGCCGCTCCAACAACTTCGTGATTAAAGCCATGGATGACTAGGGATCCAAATTCCAATGCGGCCCAATCCTGCGCATGATTTTCGTATGTTCTTTGGACGTGCACAAGTGACGGTCAACTGTAAGTTTAAAGCTTTTCCGAATAAATGTTATTCCTCGGCGTTTGTGGTGCAATGGGTGTACTACAAACCATAAACAACGAATCCATCATGAGAAATTGAATTAGGGAGAGTCTGAACCTTCCCACCTTTATGTGTAACTTGCAGTAACTCGAGCCGCGGACACATTGGCATGGGTGATACAACATTAGATGCGAAGCAGAGGTGCAGGTTAAGAATTCATAGCCATAGCGAGTTCGATTCGCCATGCTTTTTCTAACGTGTTTGCATACTATCCATCCGAAATGATGTGTGATAATCGGCCCTCTGATTCGCCAGCAGAACATCCTTTAAATTCGGATCGCTTCCAGTATCTCGGCGATGATCTTCGCATGCCCATGAGTCAGCTGCTGTGACGTGCGTTGTTCGCAAACAGATCACCTTGATGGTTCAAATCTCACAATGGCCTCTTAATGATATAGTAAAGGAGCATGAAGAAACACATCGAATGAATGTGTCCGTGTGTTGATTGTCTCATTCCTACATGGGGGATTCGAGATTGACAAGCTCAGTGGCCAGGTACTTGTAGGATGTAGCGCAATCAAGAGGGCCGCGGCGCTCTTGCATCGTTTTCATATTTCTAACCCTTTCCTCCAGCCGTTGGTGTTAGTTCTCTCTGACTCCTCTATCATTGTCAATATCAATGCTTCGCTGGCGTTCGTTTAGGTGACCTGGTCGAAGACACCTCAGTACACAGATCATAGTTGATATACTGAGCTTGACAATGTGTATTACTTTATACAAAAAAGTAGATAGGGATCACCAATATATATACTAACTCTATTCCCAGTAACAATGGGAAGAGACACGGGTACGCAGGCCCAGCCCATCACCATTGAAGGCGAACTCGAAAAAGCGTACTGAATACTCCATCGGCAGAAAACAGACTGTGCATCAAACAAGCGAAGTGTTATAATAGCTACTAGAAACGAACTGTTTGCAATCACCTCCGAGATCGCTGGATGCCTCAGGTAAAGAAATTGGCGCAACTGTAAAGTGCAATGCAAACTGGGTAGCATCTGGGTTCAGTGCCTCTTGGGTCGCAGGTCGCCAGACCATCGCCGCTTTCTCACCGCCTCGGGTTGCCTTTTAACAGCCGACATATTCTGCAATACTCAACGAAAGAATTCTTTTAAAAGTTAAACAAAAGGATAGGACAGTTGCCATTGAGTCTACAGCTTCTCAACTGTGTACATTGGAGGGACCAGAATCTGCGTAATCCGTTGGTCAAGTTAACTGCCAGACGCGAAATCTTGGAGTATGTTTGGAGCTCATCGGCAAGTTACCATCACAGTTGCGTTCGAAGACAATCGGCCAATTTTAACAGCAAGTACCGTCTAACATTCAACTGCTTCAGATACGGTCCTACAGTGACCAAATTGAATGCGGTGTAGCATCCAGAAATACGCCTGGCGCTACGAGACAAACCGACCATGAGTCACGTTAACCGTAGTGACAAGTGTTGCCCGCGGAACCACGTAGTGTGATGTTAAACGACGCATCAGGTGATACGCTCCACTCCTTTGTAATTCAACTACTTTCACCTGAAGTGGACAAGTAAGCACAAAATGGTCGTGTATTGTGATGGCGGGAGAGTGCGATGCTACATATCAATCGGTCGACAATTTATTTAGCAGCATTCTGCCTCCGCCCTAATGTTTTACCAACTCTGATGCACGAAATCGTACACAGTGAGGCTTCTTATGGTGGATGAGATCGAAATACGTGATAACAGGCATTTGTCACAGGGCCATTGTAACTAAAACCCGAGATGTCACATCATCTTGAAGTCACAGTGGGAATATTCCAGCTAATTCACCGTCAGCAACTGTGAGCTATTGTTGTGCTAAGCTCTCTACCCAAGAATATGCTACTACTGATGGACTGGTTGTCCAAGTTTGGGAACCATTTCCTGAGTTAATTACTCTGTGATCCGCACGTACAAGTTAAATACCAATGTGTAGACAGCGAGCAGCACGACATCACAAGTCGCGACCTAATCTGGTTACCTGTCGCCGTTCAACTTGGCCTCGTGGTCCTAATCGGTATTTCGTGACAAAGAGCTGGCAAACTCAAGCCCACACGCGGAATTGGTAAAATGCACATTACTGATTGGTTTTGGGTGGAGGGAAAACGGCCGTCTGATGCATTGGTGGGATGCTTATAGCTGTCAGAATGATTACAGTCGTAATGATTTCCATCCGAAAACACGTTTTTTTCGTGATGTGTCTGGTCACGTTACGGAAATGTTCTTTTATAAATTCCTTCACTTATTCACCCCATAACAATATTTCCTGAAGTTTACACGGGAGTTGTAAGATTGTGCCAATGATCGAGCGCACTCACATGCACTATGAATCTTTCTGTTGAATTCACCACCACAGATTTACGGGTGAGCATTGAACTGTCCCGCTTACCTATTCTCTGGATGAAACCAGAAAGTCGTAATTCGGAGTACGTCCGGCGGCATTTGATGGCAAGTCTTCATATTGGCATTCCGAAGAAACGACTTGAAACTTATTTTTCACGCATTGCGGCAATTTACGCAATTTACGAATCGGAGCTAGGTCACGGTGAACCATTTGGTGAGTTCTGTCCCGACTATTTCCTGGTACATGCTGCATTCATGC